GGGATGGGGGGGCCGCCTCCCAGCAGCCTCCCAGCTGGTTTTTGTAGGACTTGAGACACGCAGCTCCAGTCCCTGGTGAGCTGTCCCGTGTGCTTGCCCTGGTGGAGGAGCTCTGTGGGAAGTGAGGAGCTCCGGGAGAGCAGCTACAGCTCCTTACAGGCGTCGGGGCGGAGGGGGAAATGCCCCGGTGGGAGAGCAGGGACGAAGAGGGGAGGGAAAGCGACGGCGTCCCCTTCACCTGCAAGCCGGGGACGCTGCCACAGCTCGGGTAAACGGTGTTGGTCCATTAAGATTGCCCCTCAGATCTGTTGGTGAGCAAGTAATTCGAACGGTATTAGTGGAATTCAAGTGAAAAGGGGAGCTTGGTCACTGTCAGCTTTCTTTAAACGCAGTTGGAAGTAATTACGTAGGTCTGGTCACAGCAGATGTATCTGTCCTTTTAATGACATCAAGAAATGATTTACTGTAGGTGCTGAATGTCATCTAGCAGTACTCATATTTGCGTGGGAAGGAGAAAGGAGGAGGACACTAGGCAAGTACTAAGCCCTTAGAATTTTCTTTTATATCTATCTCCTCATGTCTGTCCCCCCCCCAGCCCCCGGAACATAAGCAGAATTAATTCCCTAGTCCTCTAACTATGATACTTCTCAAATTTAGTAGCCCTGGTAGCGTTCAGGTTTTCCTTGGTGGCTTCCTCAGCCTGGGCAGAACTGAGCAGCTCGGTGCCGGCTTTGCTATCCGCAGCCAGGGTGTTCTCCTCAGCGCTGTGCTCCGGCAGCTGAACGCTGATCCCGTAGGTGTGAGCAGCACTCGGGCTCAGCACACAGTCTAGTGGCAGCTGCCATGTTTGTTTAAAAACAGCAAAACAGGTGGTGCTGGTATGGCCTCCTTGCTGTGCGGAAGCCTCCGAGCAGGAGGACTTACCCAGGCTGTGGGAGAGCTGCACTCAGTTCCACTTTCTGCCCAAGAGGATTTCAAATGGCGTTGCCCACCGTACGGGACGGTGACCTAAATAAGAGGATGAAAGCGGTTCAATCAGGGTTATGGATCGATGGGGGACGCTCCTTGCCTCTCCTGCGGAAGCTGTTCCGCAGTACGCAACGTGATTAAAAGTTAACTGGGCAAGAGCGCAGGAGGGGTGTGACGCTGTTGAGCGCAGTTTATGATGCTCGTGTTTGGGTGAGGATAAGTGGGTTCCAATCTGTTCTCCAAGGTCTGCTTGCGTATTTTCAACAAATGTTTAGAATGCTGCAGTGCTTAGAGTGATGTAGCTTATTTTGCTAGTGGTCATTAGTTTAATGTTTCTTGTACTAGATTTATTAGAGTACGTGTGTTGGTATTTCTACACTGATAATGGATTGTTCATGGAGAGAAATAATACACCATGCTTGTTCCTCTCTGTTTATGTCTTTAAAACTGTATTACTTCTGGTAGCTAGCTAATTCTGAGTTCTCGAGGAGTAATGTAACAATATAGGGAGTGTTTTAAATGTAAATATCTATTCACAAACTCTCTTTTTAACATTGAAATTCATACAAATATCTAACAACTTAGTTCTTTTATGCGCTCCCAGTGAGGCTGCCAACTCTTCATATCTGCATTAATGTACAGTTTTTTCAGGTTTTGTCAAATCAAGATTTCTTATTTACCCTATAACTCATCGCATACCTTCCTCTGGCATCTGATTTAAGGAAAACTTGAGCTAGGTTGTTTCCATCATCCCTTCCCAATATGAGGGTTTTCAGATTGCAAAGTAATTCTTCTGTATATGTATTGCTTACAGTGATTCTCTGTATGTACTTCCCTTTTACTTTACCTTCCTTAATTATCAGTTAAAGAGGATCCTCACAAGTCAAAACTTTCTAAAGACAAGATATTCCTACTTGTGTGCACTCTGAATATGGATCTTGTATCAACTGGCTTTTGCTGCTAAATTCAGTTTTCCGAATGTGTTGCAGGATGGGGTGGTCTTCCAACAGAACTGGGCTCTGTCCCTTCGGACTAATCAGCTGTCCTGCCTGTAAGAGAAAACCCGCTTTGCCTGTAGCTAGGCTGGGCTTTGCTGGGCTGATGCGGGCTGTCCAGGAAGCCCGGTGGCTGGGGAGCAGAGGTTTAGCGATGTCAGTGAAGGTTGCCGCACAAAGCGAGTTTGGACTGGGAGCACAGACTGGTTGTTTTCTCCATTGACAGGTTTTTGTTCCAGGTTGTTCTGCAGCCTCGTGAAATGCTGCAACATGCAGGTTATGGGAAATGGCAGGGGAGGAGGTCTTCATGAAACACTTTCAATTTTATTTATTTGTTGATTTTACAGAAGAACCTTAGTGTCTACGGTTAATGTTTTCAAATAGAAAACAGACCTTTTGTTTTAAGACAGACTTCAGATTCTTTGAACAGA